GTTGAAGCTTGGAATGCTCTGCCCCTGTATGTTGTCATGTCCGCTTCCATAGAAGTCTTTAAAAAGAAGCTAGACTGCTGTAGTAATGTTCACTCTAACACCAGTTGAACGCTGCAGGCCTACTACAGACGAAGGGAATATAATATTTGATATAGTAGTACTTTCTTCGTTTGAGTAACATTTAATTATGAAATTATTATTTGCACTAAATTCATCCATATGCATGCGGCTCGCTTATGTCGACCATTAGCGGATAGTTGCGATCGTGGCGGCTTCTCCTGTTTTCGTCGCGTTGAGGAAGGCCCCGGAAATTGACAAAGGCGCATCGTGGTCGCAGCTCCGATTTTTCGGGATGCTCTCGTGACTCTGCAGCATCGTCCCCGTATGGCACTTCCGATCAAGATATAAGTCACGGTGGACCCCCTAGCCTGCCGCCCACATTAACAGCTGCATCTTGGCATATTTTTCACATACTTTCTCTCACGAGCGACAGTTTTTCTCCTAAATAAACCATAATCTACATTCCATTTTTTGAATTCCGAGCCATGCCTTAGGAGTTTTTTCACTGTCTGCTCTTTTTGCTCAGTTACATCTGTTGGCTCGTGCTAACTGACATCATCCCATCTGTTTATATTACTTCGAAAAAGTGAGTAGCCACCCACAATTACGTAAACGACCTTCTTTGAAATGTTCGGCATTGCCGATGCATTTCTTAACTACTGTGTACCGATAGGGAGTTCAAAAGCGTTTGCCCATATTTCCCTAAATAAATTGACTTGACTTGACTTGACCCATCCTAGAATACTGCTGTCCCCTCTTTAGTCTAATGAATGCCTCTGACCATGGTAAGGTTGAAAATGTTCAGAGATTTTTTACTAGAAAAATATTTTCTTTTCCTTGATGCAGTGTTTCTTACACGGAGAGATGTCAGTTAGCGAATATTGATATTTTTCTGTATCCTGTTTCGCGTTAAATCTAGCCCTTATCTTCCACACATCAACGCTATCACTTCGGTAGATCTGTAGCCGACGTTCAGCGTTGCTTTGTCCGGCGTCCTTGTTCGCGGCCAGCTGCCTCAAGGTCATCCAATACCTCACCCAGCAGTTTCAGACGTGCTGACCTGCAGAGACTCCACCTACTTCCACTCGGATACACACACATGCGTCCAGGATGTCGCCGCTGCCCAAGCGCTACCTGAAAATATTCCTTTGCCCTGGCCTCGGCCAACAGAGCCCACGCCACCATACACGACACCCCTCGGGTAATGTCACACACGCACGCACACATACACCAACTACAGAACACTTAAACCTGCTCCGCAACTCTACTCAAGCAGCTGCCACCACTATCTAAGATCTGGCTGGATGCTGTTAACACTAGCTCTGGCTTCGTCAGTGGTCACTGCCGCCTGAGATTGCAACTAACCATTCTGTTTACAATAAATCCCTCTTATAGGGGACTTCTACCCTTTGCCTTCCACCTGGGATTCGGTCTGATGATTGTAGTGCTATAAGCACAACCTCGACTTAGACCGCTTCAAATTAGTGAACCCGACGGGATTTAACCAGGCAAGCAAACTATTCTGATATGGCTGAAAACCCCTTCATGACATTTCAACTCGACTGCACCGTATTATATTCCCAGTGTCACTGATGGTGACATAATGATAGACTGTTTATAGACAAAAAATACTCTTACTTCGAAACCTTTAACACCTACACTGCCCCGATATTATTTTCCATTTTTGATATTATTGTACCTGTGAAGACAGTTTTTTTCACTTCGAACAAAATCCCTATCTTGCACACTATTAACTAAGCATAAAATTGAAACAAAGCCAATACTGAGTGCAAAAGAAGGGGTTTATTTTAGTTTTTTTCATGTTTTCAAGGGTTTTGACGGGCTCAACAGGCGCCTTACCAACAAACCTTATTAGCATTATGGTGTCCATGGGAAGGAAAATGCGGTTGCCGAAACTCTGTCACACATCTAGATTGACGTATCCAAAAAATCTCAGCCGTACTTTTCCAGGCCTAACTCAATCAAGTTACTTGAAGCAATCAACCAAATGTGTTGCGATCACGTCGTATCTCCCCTGTGTACGAGACATTCCTGCACCCATTACCCACAAAGCCATCATTTGAGATTTATTTTCATGCACTCATCATGATAACACGCAGAGATTAATGAACTGATAAACACTAAACCCTCCAGTCTATTTCAATTTTGTGCATGGACGACAATGTACCTACTTCATTGACCCATTCGTCCGATTCAGCTCTCACTGGGCTACATTGTTTCCGAAATGTCCTTTTCTCCTACCAACGTACTGACTCACTGGCATGCGTGGTCGAGATGACCTTTTTCTACTACCAACTGGCCGATTCACCGTCAGTCGTAGTCGAGATATAGGACACATCCTTACCTCCTTCTGACGTCTCGACTCACTGGCAGACGTCAAAATTACGCCAGCACATCCTCTGGCTGGTGCTACAATTGCACCTCAGTACAGGTCGCAGGCATCGCTCTGGGCTCCAGGACGAGCAAATACACCCACCCACGACAAACACTCTCTTATCTACATGTGCACGGGATTTCATGAGGTGTTTCATCGTTGGCCACACTGTCGACTTCTTGTAGCGGTCAAGGATTTGCGATCTACTATAGCCACAACACTTAGAATGTTCCGTCTGTTGGCTGGAGGCAGTCAGAGTTTAGGAGCGATTTATTGGCACCCAAGGCAATTTGTCATGGATGGACCGTTGGCTTATGTGCGATAAATGCGTCCGTCTGTAAGAGAGTGAGCCACGGTGTCTGGACAAAAGCCGTTCGGTAACGTGCTAGCAGAAGTGTGTTGTGAACGGGTATGCCATGCGTGTTGGGTGTCTGATTGAGCAGGTCATAGCGACAGTCGGAGGGACATAAACACAAGGGACTATGAAAGACAAGGCAGATTGACCGATGCGCGCAAGTGGTGCGTTTTCTGCACACGTGACCGAATAAGCTGAGGTCAAGTCTGGGGCAGCCGTGCTTTGGACGAGCGCCTGTTTAGTTAGCGCGCTTGTCGCGGCTGTTGGGACGCAGGAGAAAAGGGAAACACTGGAGAAGCTACTATCTATTGGCCGAAAAAAGAACACTCAAACAACTTGCAGGTCAAACATGGGGAAATAGGAACGCCAGAGAAAGGAGGCATTGGAACGGCCACTAAAACTTCCCCCGAACCACCAA